CATTTATCAGGGAAAGTATGTAAATCATGTGTTACTGTACCTGCCTCGAAAAGATCACGTGAACAACCAATGATTTATTTGCATGATGTCCTTCAACCCTCAAAATACCGTAAAATTCCGAAAATAAGCCACGGGGCTTATATTTTTCAAAGGCCCTTTTTGAGGGGCTTATTTTTTCAGGGGCTTATCTATGGAGGGAAATTTGCGTTTCAAAATCGATTGGGCTAGCCTTACAGTTGGAAGTAAATTTACCGTTTTTTCTTTGTTGTACTTTGTATTTGAGGGCAATTTCCAACTACAACCCCCCGGGGCGCTTATATTTGGAGGGGCGATTTAACGGAGGTGTTTTTCCGTTACGAGTTTCGGGGGCTTATATTTGGAGGGGCTTATACATGGAGGGGCTTATTCTCGGAATTTTACGGTACTTGATAGTAAACAGCGGAGGGGCTAAATTAAAGCTCATCTTGAGCAAGGGGATTTTAATGACAAATTATTAGTTCCACACTTGTAGACCGCGCACCGCCAATGTTGACACCCTGTTTCGAAGGCTTTCAGTCCAGAAAGACACCCTTTTCAAGACACTTAACAGTTAAATTGTAAACCCTGTTAAAAACCATTCCTTTTTCAGCGGCACATAGCTGTTAAGGCCACAAACATAAATGTGAGTGTTAAGGCCGGCCAGTGCCAAACCTTCAAATATTTTTGAGAAGGATGTTTATGTTAGAGCTTTAAATGGTATGTTTCCATCGCAACCACTCCTAAAGGCAAGAAGAACTAAAAGGTTATTAATCGATAAATGAATAAAAAAAAAATAATTCTAACAACAGTAATAATGATAATATACTAAAAGTTATAGTAAATAGGCTTTTTCTGAATTCCCTCAAGCCTCTGTTTTAAGACGAAGCTAAGTGTGAAACCTTCAATGTGAAAATGATTTCTTATTCTTAGGCCAAATAAGGGAGTGTACTTGGCCACGCTTTGAAAGTGAGGTTTTTTGGGACTCAGAAATGGCCTAATGAAGCAATTCTTTCTGTTCTTTTCAGGGTTTTCATCTCATTTTTATAAGACGCCATTTTTGCCAGCTGCCTTTTCATTTGTGGAAAAGACTCAAAAACCAGGAGCCTGTTTCAAGGAAGGAAAACAAACCATAATGATATGGACTAGTTAACAATTATTCTTTGAAATCGAGGTAAATATTCCTAAAGCCACTATTTACCGTGATTAAAAAGAATTATTGTTTCAGTACATACACACTAAGTGATCTCAACAAATTCAGAGAGGAAACAATTAAAAAGTACGATTTGATTGACGGATCAAATCACGCGAAACAATTTTCAAACATGGCAATTCACTAGGAATTATTTTGAATGAATAAGAAAGCAATTAATGAATTCGGCTTTTGTAGGATATTTAGCAATTAATGAATTGAGGCCGAAGGAGATGTGCATAATTGTTTTTAGTAAAATCCAACTAGTGGTCTATTATCAATGCTGTGTTCTGATTGGTTGAGCTACTACTAGGCTATATGTTATAGCCCACTAGTAGCGAAAAGCGCGGGCTTTTCGGCGGCAAAAAAGGATGCACGTCTAGCTTTTTTTAGCTAAAATTTTTTTATTCTCGATATTTTTGACCAACTAGTTGGATTTTACTAAAGCAATTACTCCTCTCGCTCTCATGGAACTCTGAGTCAATAGCCCATGAGGCCGAAGGCATGGGCTATTGACTCAGAGCCCATTCGGGCTCAAGGAATAATTGTTAAATATCCTACGAAAGCCGAATTCATTACTTGCTTTATGAGTGATTTTAGTACAACTAACTGAATTTGTCGCAACAAGACAGAATGAGCTAAACTCTCTCAGCTGCAAACACCCCAACAATAGTGTTAGTAAGTTTTAAACTTGTTTGGATGTAAACCAAGCGAGTATTATCCTTAGCTCCTCAACTCTGCTATCGAAATTGGTGATGTGGTGGCTTTTAATTAAGATTTTTGCGTTCTTAGATCAGTTAGATCGTTTTCCAAAGATTGTTATGACATCGTCTAAGGCCTGTTAGGACCATTCCAGGATGAAATATATTATGGCTACAAAACTTACGGTAAACCTTTTTACGAGTAGTGACAGAAGTAAATGTACTCCATAATATTTGAAAAACCTGTAAATGAAATAAACTTGCATTTATTTTTAGTTTGGCTCGATTTACTTACTCAACAGTTAAAAATCCTTCGATATTTAACTAAAATAAATCTTTTGGTAAAAGGCACCTGTGAGTTTAGTGAACTAGGAAGGAGTTTAGTGAAGGAGTTTCAAGTATCGACTCGATAGCATAATATCGAATCAAATTATTTTAAACGGGTGCATGATCAAGAACAACGCTGAAAGTTCAATGCTTGTTTTTACCGTGGATAATAAATTGAAAGACCCAGTTTTTCTATTATCCATGTTTCTACCGACCAGTTTTAATAAAAGGTCCTTTTCGTTTACTAAAAAATCGAACCCAAACTGAATCGTTTTGTTCAGATACACACATGAAGTTGACTAAGTGAGGTCTGTCGGATTATGTAGTTGACAAAATTGTGACCTTACTACGATATCGTTAGCGTTAGGCATAATTCCTAAATAATACCTATACATTTTTACCACAAACATGATCACGATGCAATGTTTTTGAGCCTGATAGCAAAGTTTTGCGCTGCGTATTTGGCACGTGCGCAAATGCTTACAAAAAACGTGAGTAACTCAAGATTGGTTTGAGACTTACTTCTGATAGGTTAACAGAGGGGGTCGTGTAAAAGCAAAGAAACCACGACCTTTTTGCTCTACAAAAGAGGGAATTGTTGTCGTCAAGCTCGTTCTTGGGACGCCTCAGAAAAAATTCTTGTTCACCAGTGGCTTTGACTGAAAATGACTTCAACCGAAGAGGTTTGTGATTTACTTATTTAACTCTGTCAAAACTTGAACTTGAAATCTAAAACATTCCCCAAAACAAAATCATTGTGTATTTTTAATGCAGAACGAGAAGACGTGCATTATTATTTACAATGAGGTGATGTAATAGTATGTCATTTGGGTCTGTGTTTTCTGTTAAGAAAACAAACACGTAAGCTTAATTTTACTGCAGATTACCCCTCAGTTGAACAACACGCTGGATAGTGGGTCAGAATATTCAGCAGAAAAAGTACAAGGTAAGCAGACCGTTGTTTACTATTAAAAAGAGAAACGTTATGATCGTCTCACGACTCAAAGGGTAACAAAGCACAAAAATAGTCCTCTGGGAGGACATTGAAGACAGGGTGACAAAGCCGGGGGGGGAGGGGGGTACGTATCACGCATCACAGAAAATTTCTTATTTTTTTACAACAAAGGGTTTCGCGCTTGGCCAAGCTTTGAAAGTGAGGTTTTTTGGGACTCCGAAATGGCCTAATAAAGCAATTCTTTCTGTTCTTTTCAGGGTTTTCATGTCATTTTTATAAGACGCCATTTTTGCCAGCTGCCTTTTCATTTGTGGAAAAGACTCAAAAACCAGGAGCCTGTTTCAAGGAAGGAAAACAAACCATAAAAACTTACGATCAACTGTGTACATAATAGATTATTGCCAGCTGTGGCCTGGACTAAGTGCAGCACGAGAAAACCATTACTCTAGCTTGTACTGAAATGAATTGACTTATATAATGATGCCCTGCGAGCAGAGGCCCTTTGATCTTTCTAGATAAGTCGGGAAGTCATGCGTCTCCTCTTGCGCGCCTGCTTTTCATGTTACTTTTACATTTTACTTTTCATTATTTTTCATGTTATAGTAAATTTCGGTAATTGTCTACATGTGGAATTCCCAATAATCAAAATTAATGATTACATCTAAAACGTTGTCAGCTGTTTGCTTTTAACAATAGCTGGGCCGGGTTGTTCAAAGCTGGGTTAAGAAAACCCAGGCTTATTGCGAAATTTGAATTCAGATGTGAAAGTAAATTCAGTGTAATTCATTTTGTCAACAAGTTGATAATTGGATGCCCATAAAAATAGCAGAGAAAATTATCCGACGAAATGCTTTTGAACAAAAGAAAAAGTAACCCAGGCTAAGTGCTAAAAGGCCTTCGAACAACTGCGCCCCGTAGAACATTTATTGCACCAGTCTAAATAGAGGTTTCGCCGTATGCAACCCCTACGTTCAAAATAAGCCATAATCATATTTATCTATTGGAAGAATCATCCACCCTTCTCTCTCAACTGCTACCTGTACGCCCATCAAACATATCGAACGCACTCCTCCTAAGATCCGATTACTCCTAGTATAGTTACTGGTTAGCAAGTTAATAACCGGGTTATTTTTTAATGATCCAGTGAAAATTCCGAAAAATGCAACCTGTTATTGTGGTTAAAGGAGTTCTACTGAAATAATTTTTAAAAGCGGCAAGACTCAAGTGAGAAAAGGTGAATTTGGACATGAGACAAACAAACTAAGTTTTGAAACTGTAGTAACTGAATGCATGGTAAAGTCTAGCCTGCGAGAGCATCCGGTTTTTTCGGCCCAAGTTTCTAGTTTCACTAGGTAACTTAAGTATAAATCTAAAAAATTCTCACATGTAGGCAGAGATGGTTGATTGAATGACTTTGTTTTCCTGCATTAAAGTACCCGGCTGCATGGTTGTTAAAAAATAACCTATCCTTGTTAAGAAAATCTAGTGTTCTCGAGTGATTTGCAAAACCAGTAGACTTGCTGCAAGTCAACCTCACGAGTTTAAGCAAGCGTAGCGAGTTTTTAAGGCATGTAAAGCTGCCAAGGGAGACCACAAAGCGGACGAAGGACTTTTTTGAAAGGCTACATAACCATCCTTACAATATTGTAGTTCTCTCTGTTTTTTTCCTCACTAATTTCTTCAAAAGATCAGTGTTAATATTTATTTTACTTCCTGATTAGAGTAAAATTAAAATTTAGAAAGTTATGTTTCAGTCAGCATTCCGGATGACTAAAGAATTTTCTTGCTTGGTGCAGTAACAAAAGAACTGCTACGGATCATCATCCCACAGGTGTCGCGACCTTATACGTTTTCTCCCACTCGTAGCTTCATCTTCACTTTCAGAACCCTCCTCCAGTTCACCTGGTGAAATTAGGTTGTCTATGACCGTGACTGCTATGGAGTTACAAGCCAGGATAGGTGGGAACCTTTTTTGAAAATTTCTTGACGTTTGTGAGGAGAAGCTTTTAGTCACAGCTTGGACACTAAAAATAACAGTAGGAGATTTAACAAATCACCAACATTTTCCCATGGTCTGTACTCTCATCGAACATGGAAATCATGTCAAAATGTGCAAATTCAAGTGGAACCACGAGCCGTTGCCAAGTGTTTACACTGCAAATTTTGAACATTTTGACGTCATTTTTATGGTCGATAAAAGAACAAACCATGGAAAATTGGTGTTGATTTGTTTTTTACAATAATATTGGCAATTTTGATGTCCATTGCCGTTCAAGTTTCTTGGATAATCCTACGTGGGAGAAAGAAAAATAAAATTGCCCACAACCTTCACTTCATTTTCATGGTCTGTACTTGACCATGAAAATGAATGTTATCGACCATAGCTCTTGACCAATCAGTGTGCAAGAAATTGCTCAGTTATGGTAAAAAACACAATGTAAGATGACCACATAAGATGGGAATGTCAGAAAAACTCAGACCTTGAAAACTTAGAACTCAGACCCCCCCCTCTGAAAATCAGACCTTTAGGTATCCCATAATACACAGACTCATACCTAGTCCCTCTCAGTTTGAAATAAGGCAATGACAAATGCTTTGCTTTGCAGTTGTCATCTTGAGAACCTTAACAACTATAACAGGGCTCAAACAAAGTGCTGTACAGTAGTCCACAAAATAATAAATTTTCATACTGGGCAAGTCAGTTTGAAAGCTTACTTGTCAGATAGACAAGAGTCCAGTAGGTGGAAGACAAGCAAGAGGTGGCCTTGAGCAAGGACTCATAGAACTGAGAAGAAAATTTCGTAGGTTCTCTCAGTATTTTGTAGACTCTTTGACAACCATTCTTTGTGCTTTCAAGCAGTGTTTCCTTCAAACACTTGTTGAAAACCAGCCAATGATGAATTCCCCGTCTGTGGATTGTCACATTGCATTTTACTATACATTGTTTTGAAGTTCAATAACATCAAAGAAACAGCCATGTAGAACATTGTTTGACATGGCTCTTGGAAATCATGCATTGTGCATACAACCTACAGATTAGTCAGTTGACAGCTAGCAGATAACTAACCTGTAGGTTGCACTGTTTTTAAAAAATTAACTGCAGGCTCTTAGCCAATGAGAAGACAGGTGTAATTATCAGAGAAATAACTCCACATGAATGTGGTTTTCATTTCAAGTCTGTCAAATGTTTCATCTGGAAAATGACCTATCCCTTCCTGTCAAAAGTCAAATGACCCATAGGAGGGATAAGACGATGCCTTCTGGATGTTTCCACTGCCTTTTTCTTTACTGGAAAAAGGTCAATTTATAATAATTATTGGGATGCCACAGGCAGCTAAATAATAATCACATTGGCTCAAACACTAGCCTGCGTGGCAGGCGTTAAAAGGGGAAGGGGAAGGCGGCAATTTGGGCGCGCGGGGGAGAAAGGAAAGGGCCCTATGCACTCTCTTGCGCCCAAATTCCCCCTTCCCGTTCCCCTTTCAACGCCTGCCATGCAAGCTACTCAAACACACGCAGAAGAGACAGATAAATGTGCTTTCCCAAAACCTGTTGGCTAACAACCTCGTTCTCAGGGTTCTCTCCAACCCGCCCTACAGAGCGAGAGAGGGCGGGTAGGAGAGAACCCTGGGAACAAGATTGGTTGGCTAAACGCGGAATCCCTGAGATCACATGCACTGGGATAACTGAAAATAGGGGAATTGTAAAACTCTTCTTACCTTTTAAGTACAGAATAATGAATATGAAGATACTTACATACTAACTTTCGAATTTTGTTGAAGCGCAGATCCACATATCGTTCGAACTCCACTTCCAGAACATGGTTGCAAACATTGACTAGTCGTTAACTTGACCGTCTGAGCTAAACAGCTTCTTGACTTTTTCTACAAAATGTCAAACAAAATCTTAGCTGAAGGAACAAAATATCCAGAGAGGGAATATCGGAATATTTACCGTTAAAAAACTGCTAGATTTTGCGAAAGATAGACAAGACAAAGAATAACGAGACAGGGACGCCATTTTGAAACCTCTGACGCATGATCAAAGAACGAAAAGCACTGGTCTATTGTTTTTGCGGGCTCATCAAGATGGCGTCCAAAATGGCGGGAGTGTCTTTGGGGGTTGTTGTTTTGGTCATGTTCTTTTCTTCAGGATGTTCAGATGGCAAAAATCAACAACTTACATATGACAACTGGCATCTTATGCTAGAAGGAGAATGGATGGTGAAGTTGTAAGTATGCTCAGATAATTAATAATAAACGTAGTATCGTCATCGAATCATCGTAAGCAATAGTCGATTTCCTGGTTTTGGCGAAATTGTAGAACATCCTGCTTGGCTCGTGGATTTCCTCGTTTTTTCCGTGCTACTGTTATATACGTTTTCATGAACAACGCTGGATCCTTTTTCTTCAATATTCCTTATTCACAGAACGTTGAACAGTTTTTTTCATAATCAAACTTTGATGTTTTATACTCGATCATACAGTGCTATTTATTTCCTATTCATTTAAAGAGATCAAAAGTACCGATTCAAGCTACTCCCAATCAAATTACTTTTGAAAACCCCGCATCCTCCAGGAGTTCCCTGCCCCAACCCTTAGTAGCAGAAATCTGGTTGGAATAACTGGTCAAAACTTCTTTTACCGGACACAGATAACGTAAAACAAACGACCTCTTTGTTTTCTGTTCAGGGAAGAATCTGCTTGGTATTGTGTCATGGCTTGTTCTTTTGTTTCACATCATCTGTGTCCGGTACACCAAGTAAACGCCGAATGACCTATTGCAACATTCTTATCTCCCAATTCATGACCATTTCTTGTTTTATCCGAGACATATATACCAATTAGAAAATAAGACACTAGCAATATAAAAAAAATGGAAACCTTTCTTTTCCTTGCTGAGTCTTGTCTCCTAACTCCAAAAACATAAATTAGTAATATCTGCACCTACCATGAATATTTATATTACTTTCACCACAAAGAAAGCAAAAAAAAAAATTGTAAAAATTAATTATAGATCATACTAAGTACAGTAATACATGGAATTAGCACTGCTGTAATCTAGTTTAATATTTGTAAGTACTGCATGTAAGTGTGTAAATTTTCTTTTTTTTGGTTTTATTCATTTATTTATTCTGTGTAATTTTTTTTCTTTTTTGTGTGTGTTTTACTTGCAAATAATAATAAAAAAAAACATTCTTACCAGGAGGAAGGGAAAGGGATCCAAACCTCCTGCATCCTTGCATTACCAGCTCCTGCCCCTTTATCCCTTTTGGGATTGTTAATTATCAAGCATTATTGCATAATTTCCCCCTATTTCTACTGCTTCAGAACTCCCATCTCTTGCCCTTTCCCCTGGGGGGTACTCCCTTAGTTAAGGACCTATAAACCACCCCCCCCCCCCCCTTCCCACTAATGGGAATGACTTAGGACATTATATGAAGTCTTACATGAACTACATACTATTAAAATTCGCTTTCATCATTGTAATGATGAACTAGAGTTTGTCAGTGACTAAATATGTGCAAAAATGTCCCAGAACTGTACAATAAATAAATAAGTGAAAAAGTTGAATTTTAGAGAAAAAATAGGCTCAATTTCAAACTAAAGCACAGAAAAGCTTAAAAGTCAATTTTGTGCGGGAGATTTGATGACTCATACAGTTGACCGTGCTGTGAATCAAACCCAAGTCTTCAGCTCTAATTTTTTTCACCCAACCAATTGAGCTGACCAGTCAGAAGTCAAATTTGCTTTCATTACTGTAAGAGTAACATTTTATATTTATCTTTTAAAAGCTTTGCTCCTTGGTGCCCAGCTTGTCAACACGTAGCCCCTGTTTGGAGAAAATTGGCTCTAAAAGCTGATGCATTAGGTTTTAATGTTGGAGAAGTGGACACCACCAAAGAACCTGGTAATGTATTGGTATAACATATAGATTTAGCCAGAGCTAAAAGTGAAGCTACTGCTTATGCACTTTAAATTTACTGCAGGCAATAGACTTTAAACTATTGAAAAGAACACAAATCTATACTAACTTTATGGGAAAGACAAGATTGAAAAACATAAACTTGAGCCCGCAATCAATTAAAAGCTAACAACTGGTCAGCAGAAAACTTTAAAAAAATGCGTGACCTGAATGAGTTGGCACTTGAGCCTGTAATACGGTCATGTATCACTGGTCAATTTGACATTTCACATTGGTTTCCCTGTGGTGCGGACAGACGGGTGTACAGTCACCTGATTACCAAAATTTCTCAGATGGATAGATTACCAGTATTATTTATCTTAGGTATGGGGCTTTGCTCAGGCTCTCATTCATGACAAAATGACTACTGAAGACAAAATAAAATTGTTACATTACATCGCAAACACTACCAACTACAAAGATCTTGACACGGGCAATTTTTTGGTCTTCGTGTGAATATGTAGCTTTTTTGGGTACCCTGTGGAGTACACACTTGCTGTCTGCCTGTTTAAGTAAGATGTGTTTCACCATTCGTTTGTAGTTAAAGGAATGCTTTTTTACTCAGGGGCAAATTATGTAGGCAGGACTTAAAAAATAAGTCAACTGTGATGGTTTATCATCCTCAACCAACTTAAGCAAAAGGGAAGGAGGCCTGAAAAACATGCATCCTTGACAGGGAATTAAACCCTGATTGAAAGAAGAAAACCATCAGTTTAATCATTTCAGGTAAAAGGTTTATGATTTTGATGGGTTACTCTGCCAAATACTTAAGAGTATTTTAATTTTTTCAGAGACATACTACTGGCATGATATCCCCATGATAATAAAAATTATACATCCCCCTAAAAGCTCTTTTTTTTGCATTACATAATATTCTTAAAATGTTCTCATTTGACTATTAACTGTTTGTTTTTGGTTTTTTTTTGCAGCATTGAGTGGAAGGTTTATGATATTTTCATTACCAACCATCTACCAGTGAGTTGCTTATTTCAACTCTTTCTTAACAGTCACCCTTATAAGACAGATACCTCTCTAAAATGAACATCTAAAGTTCATCCCTGCTGTTCTTAAGTCATTTTCTTTGAGTCTTTATAAAGTAGACACTGTACAGTGATAAAGACAAAATGAAGTTATCTTAGAGAGATTTAACTGTACAGTCAAACTGTTATTGCGTGGGCTCTAACTAAGTGGCCACCATCTATTTAGTGGCCAGAGTCCTAGCAGAAAATGTTATGGGTAAATCACTGGGCCAGAACCTTTGTTTAGCGGTCAAACATGCTCAAGAGGCTACTTGCCCATTCTCTGAGGGTAGCAATCTTTCATAGCAGTTTATTGTTGATATCACTTTATTGTATTGTATACTGCCACACCAGGCAGACTGACACTTTTATTTTTGTTGTAAGTTGTCATTGTCATCATCATCATCTTCATCGCTGTTATTAACGTCATCATTACGTTCACTGTTATCATCACCAACACTGCCATCAATAGTCCTCATTATCATAGTTATTGTTATCATCATCATCACCTTCTTTATCACCACCTTTGTCCCTTGTTGTATTGTTATTATCACCAAATTCATCTTTGTCACTATTAACACAACTATCATCATCATCATTATATTCAGAATTATAACATTTTATATCATCGATGTGAAGTATAAATGAAATAATTCATTTTTGAACTGCGGTTGTAGATAAGGTCACGGGTTCGAATCCCGTTGAAGCCCTGATTTTTTCAGGCTTCTTCTTTCCAATAATATTGCTAAATTGGAAAATTTACTGCGATTGATCATTCTTCACTTTCACCTACAACTGCGGTTCAAAAATGAATTTTATAACATAGCGCGCGTGCTTGTCCTATGTAAGTCCTATTGAGTCGCTATGAACAAAATCTTTATTTACGCACGCTCGTGCGTAAATAAGATGACGTGAGCATCTTTTTTTTTATCTGGCTGCAAAGTATAGTTGTCGTCTTTTAAGATGCAGTGCAGTTTTCCTTCTCTTTAAAATATGGAAGAAACCAGCGAAGAACTGCCCAATGTTTTTATCAGCATTGACCTTTTAGGTCCTGATCCAACAAGCAGCAAAAATAAAGCCGAATTAAAAAAAACTCGCACGTTGCGCGTTTCGCAAATTTGTCGGAAGACCAGCTGCAGCAAATTTTGGCCGAAAGACATTAACTGGGAACAGAACAGACACCAACTGGTCATCAACAACATTTAAGGGTAAAATTTCCGTTTTTATTGTTGTGTTTAAATTTGTTACGCACTTTTGTTATCTCCGGACAATCCTACTGAAGCAGGAAAATTTCTTTCGCAATAACAACACAAATTACACAAGAAGACGTAAATTTATTACTCACAAAAACAACTGCTGCCAGGTCTTCTCAAGAAGCCGTAATGACCAGCCAATGCTCGTAAATGAATATAAGTTTAAAGAAGGATGACAGTCGTCTTCGCTAAAAACATGTTTTCTGGATTTCGCCGAGCAAAACGTAAACATCTTTTCAGCAAATCCAAACCATACTCCATGACTTCTTACGAACATAGTGTTAGTATAATTTTAACTTTAGGTGAACTTTAAGACGCTTTTACCTTTGTTTCTGCTTAGTTTCCATTGATCGTTAACGAATAAAGAAGCAAATTTTCTTCTCAGTTTTACAGAAAGAACATTTTCATTTAAACTAGACGATTGTGGCGTGTTTAGCGAGTTACGAGAATTTTGCAGTTAATCAAAAAGCAAGCATTTTTGTCAGCTATGTTATAAAAGAATTTGCTCATGCTTTTAGCTGTGCATATATCGAGTTATGGATGCACTTGGGAAGTTTGGAGAGCACTCAAGAAGCTAGAGTTGCACTCGGCTATCGCCTCGTGCAACTCTTACGCATCTTTCGTGCTCTCCAAACTTCCCGCGTGCATCCATAACTCGATATACGCACACTAAGCATGAACAAATTCTTAAATTTCATATATACTTCACATCATTTCACTCTTCATGGGAGATATGAACTCAATAAATTGCCCTTGCTCCCAATGTGTGGCTTCATAGCTCAGTTGGTAGAGCATTGCACTGGTAATGCAGAGGTCACTGGCTCTAATCCCGTTGAAGCCCTGATTTTTTCAGGCTTCTTCTTTCCAATTGCTTAAATTGGAAAATTTACTGCGATGATCATTCTTTACTTTCATTTTATATCATCATCATCATCATCATCATTATAAAATTAATTTTTATTTTTAACTAACACTTTGTTTCTCCCCTCCATCAGTGTTAAAGATGGGACATTTCGAAAGTATGAAGGTCCAAGATCATTGCAAGGATTTATAGACTTTATTAGTGAACAAAAATGGAGAGAAACTGAACCCGTTCCTTGGTGGAAGTCTCCTAACTCATTTCTGTACGTACATTGTACTATATACAGTCAAACCTTCACTCTGCCACTTCCCACAGGTGAACACTTCCCATAAGTACGTTTTTTCAGTGTCAGGGGTATCCCAGGGTGAGTTAAAAACTAAAAACCAAATAACTTTCCCATTGGCAAAGCTGTTGCTGAGGTTTAGTAGCCCAAGGCAGTTAGGCCTATTAATCCCTCTTTTCACTAAAATTGAGTTACTGGTAAACTGGAGAAATGTTGTTTGCCTGTCAGACAACTCAATAATTATTTTTGTTAAAATATGCTATCCCAACAGCTAGTTCCACTAGTCGCGAGCTATCAGACAGCACTTTTGTTGCACCCTGTGTCTACTTACAGGTGGTTTGTACCAAAAAACAACCTTTGATGGTATCTGATGTAAAAATTTGTTGTGGTAAACCTTATTATTATGACACCAAAGAGACAGATGGCTGGAACTGCACCCATTAACAATGGTAACTCTGGATAAAACTGATGTTGATTTAATTTGTAAGATATCTGAAACATAGTTTTTTCCCCCTCATTATATTAGGATGGGAATGCTTGGTGTATTGTTCAAGCTTTCCTTGCTTTTAAAGGTATGTGTAGGTACTTTTAAATAATTGTGGTTGATGTTAAAAGTATTACCAAACAAAAGTCATTTGCATTTCATCAGATATATCGTGTCAATGAGTCGGTTTAATTTCCTAGTATTCACAAAGCTAGGCTCTCTGTATCTCTATGATCATTGTAGCAACTTTTTGATGTTTGGACGTCCCTGCAGTGGAACCAGTGATCTTCTAGATCAAGAATGTCATTTTCACGAAGTCCTTGCCATATATAATGAACATTATCTCCAGTAATAGTAAAATAATTATGTGGAAAAGAACTACAATACTAGAGGTAATCTTTGATTACGGATCCGTGTTCATCACTTATGGAAAGGAAATCGAGTCTAAAGGACTTAGGAGTCCAGTTTCCTGGATGAGATACCCGTAATAAAATCAGTTGGGGGTGGCTAATCGGCAGTCGCCCACGACAACGTGAAAATTTGTGGCTTTGTGCTTCAGGAACACCAATATTAGGATGTGTTCTGACGAACACGATAATGAAATTTTGATATAGTGAATGTATTTTGTCAGCCCATTGGTCCTTTGTTATATCCAAGTTCCACTATAGTTGGAATCCTGGCTAGGTCTACAGAGTTTCTCTTTGTTACATGTTCATGACATGACAGTCATTCCATCTTTCTTGTTTATGTTGGTGTCAACAGGATTTTCATGAGCTACTTACAGTCACGCATGGTCTCCCAGTCTGGGCTTCATATGCACTTTTTGGCATTTCTACAGTTCTAGCAGGACNAGATATCTGAAACATAGTTTTTTCCCCCTCATTATATTAGGATGGGAATGCTTGGTGTATTGTTCAAGCTTTCCTTGCTTTTAAAGGTATGTGTAGGTACTTTTAAATAATTGTGGTTGATGTTAAAAGTATTACCAAACAAAAGTCATTTGCATTTCATCAGATATATCGTGTCAATGAGTCGGTTTAATTTCCTAGTATTCACAAAGCTAGGCTCTCTGTATCTCTATGATCATTGTAGCAACTTTTTGATGTTTGGACGTCCCTGCAGTGGAACCAGTGATCTTCTAGATCAAGAATGTCATTTTCACGAAGTCCTTGCCATATATAATGAACATTATCTCCAGTAATAGTAAAATAATTATGTGGAAAAGAACTACAATACTAGAGGTAATCTTTGATTACGGATCCGTGTTCATCACTTATGGAAAGGAAATCGAGTCTAAAGGACTTAGGAGTCCAGTTTCCTGGATGAGATACCCGTAATAAAATCAGTTGGGGGTGGCTAATCGGCAGTCGCCCACGACAACGTGAAAATTTGTGGCTTTGTGCTTCAGGAACACCAATATTAGGATGTGTTCTGACGAACACGATAATGAAATTTTGATATAGTGAATGTATTTTGTCAGCCCATTGGTCCTTTGTTATATCCAAGTTCCACTATAGTTGGAATCCTGGCTAGGTCTACAGAGTTTCTCTTTGTTACATGTTCATGACATGACAGTCATTCCATCTTTCTTGTTTATGTTGGTGTCAACAGGATTTTCATGAGCTACTTACAGTCACGCATGGTCTCCCAGTCTGGGCTTCATATGCACTTTTTGGCATTTCTACAGTTCTAGCAGGACTTCTTATAGGCATGGTAAACTGTTTAATTATTGCCCATAATTCTCTGAGTTATATTTTTTGAGTGGCTAAAACGAAGCTTTTTCTAGTTTGCACTTTGATAAAGACTGCAAACATATGTATTTGATCAGAAGCAGTGTGGCTGAGCAGTAAGGGTGGTGAACTTTATTATTTAAAGGCCCCGAGTTCAAGACCACTTGACGGATTATTTTGTTCTCAGTAGTCCAAAGTGTAAATCCTCTGCCATCCTTGTAAATAGCCAGCTGGTTTGCGTCTCACTAGTTAGGATTCATAACCCTGTTAAGTGTGATGTAAATTGTTTCAGGCATTTGCTTGGCCCCACTAGCATTAGTTCTATAAATACTGCAGAGGGTAAATAAAGGTTATTTACTTTATTTATGTTTATCTTGGTTTTGTTGTCATTAGATTATAGTAGTTGTATCAGACTATATCCTGGGAGGACCTCCTGTGATCCAGGCCCCTCAAGTGCCTGTTCAGCCCTCAGAAAAGGAATCCGAAGAGGAGCCTGGTGAAGAGCATAGTGAACAATGTGATAAGGAAGAAAAAAAAGAAGCAAAAGACAATGACGATGAGAAGAGTGGTGTGAGGAAGAGGGTAGGTATCAGGGTTTATCGCAAAGGAAAAAACTGTGAGGTGCTTAAACTGTTGACTTGCTTATCAGGGGAGGATTCGGAAAATTCAAAATGGGGGACAGGACACTTGCTAGTTGCACTTTCTATTTTCGTGGGAATTTGTTAAAAATAATACAGTCGAATCCCACTTTGCAGACACCCTCTTAATACAGACAGACACCTCATTATTATGGACTGTTAAGGAAAGAAAGCCCTTATGTTTTCTCTAAATTCAACTCACTTAATGTAGACACCCCTTTGATACCGACAATTTCTATGACCCTCTCAGTGTCTGTATTAACAGGGTTTGTCTGTACGAAATTTACCAGCAAAAGGAGGGGTGTGGTACCCTTGGACCACCCCTAAATCCACCCATCGTGGTGAGAAACAGTGCAGAGGAAAGTTTTATGCTTAGTAAAACAACGATACGGAAGAAAAGAAGTGTTAAAGCTTACAGCTCACAACTGTCTCACAGATTGGTATCTCTAAGGGTAATATACATGATGCAAGATTGGGAATCTCCACAAGAGAGAAAGTGTTAAAAATAAGCTTTAAATTCTCTTTGCTTTTTTGATTTCTAGGTAACTGCTACAACTGACTGATGCTGTGCTTCATTGTTAATAGCATAGAGAAGCCAATGGTCAAAGCCTTAAAAATGGAAAAGAAGTGTCACAGATATAAATTCTGAAGCACTGAAATATACCATCCTGGATTGTATTAACAAAAAGGTCTGGTGTATCTTGTGCTCTGGTGAATCATAATATGAGCTGGTTTTTCATAGGCAGAGCTGTGACGTGTAGCAAGTGTCAAAATAGCAAGAAATATCACAAGACATAAGTAGCTTCGCCGCAAGGAAAAATACCATTAGGATCTTATCTTGACTTCTCCCTATTCTTTTTATTGCTGTATAGTCAAAAACAAAAGTGTTGTTGCTTACTAGATCCCACAAGTGCCATACAGTCATTTGCTGGTGCTCAAGTTCTTCTTTAAATTATTACCTCTTGGTTCCTAGCCCCTCTAGGTACAAAAAAACATTATACCAACTCAACCACAATTTAGTTTGATTAGCTCCTTCCATCAGCTCTTTGCTCGAGGACTCTATGTGATATTCTTTTAGTCCTATCATGTGCAAAGGTCACAAGAATCAGGAATTTAATAGGGCCATGAGTTTCATCCGGCAGTAGCCTTCTACCCTGGGCCCTGGAGGTTTTTCCTCACATGCAGCGTGGTGCTCTTGTGTTAGCTGCATGCAGGCCGACATATGTTTGGCCCAGTGCGTGTAGAATCTTGGGTAGCCAGGAAAGTAAGCCTAAGGCGGTGGATGAAATCCTGGCCTTGACCTTTCAAAGCTGAGAGCTAGAGTACCTTTTTGGTGAAATTTGATCTTTTTTGAATTGAATTTCTCTTTGGAATAGCTCATGAAATAAATATCCCATTGGCCTTCAAAAATTCTCTTACAGCAACTATGGTAGACTCGGCCCCCCCTGAGGGGGGTATTCTTACCAGGAGGAAGGGAAAGGGATCCAAACCTCCTGCATCCTTGCATTACCAGCTCCTGCCCCTTTATCCCTTTTGGGATTGTTAATTATCAAGCATTATTGCATAATTTCCCCCTATTTCTACTGCTTCAGAACTCCCATCTCTTGCCCTTTCCCCTGGGGGGTACTCCCTTAGTTAAGGACCTATAAACCACCCCCCCCCTCCCCTTCCCACTAATGGGAATGACTTAGGACATTATATGAAGTCTTACATGAACTACATACTATTAAAATTCGCTTTCATCATTGTAATGATGAACTAGAGTTTGTCAGTGACTAAATATGTGCAAAAATGTCCCAGAACTGTACAATAAATAAATAAGTGAAAAAGTTGAATTTTAGAGAAAAAATAGGCTCAATTTCAAACTAAAGCACAGAAAAGCTTAAAAGTCAATTTTGTGCGGGAGATTTGATGACTCATACAGTTGACCGTGCTGTGAATCAAACCCAAGTCTTCAGCTCTAATTTTTTTCACCCAACCAATTGAGCTGACCAGTCAGAAGTCAAATTTGCTTTCATTACTGTAAGAGTAACATTTTATATTTATCTTTTAAAAGCTTTGCTCCTTGGTGCCCAGCTTGTCAACACGTAGCCCCTGTTTGGAGAAAATTGGCTCTAAAAGCTGATGCATTAGGTTTTAATGTTGGAGAAGTGGACACCACCAAAGAACCTGGTAATGTATTGGTATAACATATAGATTTAGCCAGAGCTAAAAGTGAAGCTACTGCTTATGCACTTTAAATTTACTGCAGGCAATAGACTTTAAACTATTGAAAAGAACACAAATCTATACTAACTTTATGGGAAAGACAAGATTGAAAAACATAAACTTGAGCCCGCAATCAATTAAAAGCTAACAACTGGTCAGCAGAAAACTTTAAAAAAATGCGTGACCTGAATGAGTTGGCACTTGAGCCTGTAATACGGTCATGTATCACTGGTCAATTTGACATTTCACATTGGTTTCCCTGTGGTGCGGACAGACGGGTGTACAGTCACCTGATTACCAAAATTTCTCAGATGGATAGATTACCAGTATTATTTATCTTAGGTATGGGGCTTTGCTCAGGCTCTCATTCATGACAAAATGACTACTGATAAAATCAGTGTCATTCATGACAAAATGACTACTAATAAAATTGTTACATTACATTTCAAACACTACCAACTACAAAGGTCTTGACACGGGCAATTTTTTGGTCTTCGTGTGAATATGTAGCTTTTTTGGGTACCCTGTGGAGTACACACTTGCTTTCTGCCTGTTTAAGTAAGATGTGTTTCACCATTCTTTCGTAGTTAAAGGAATGCTTTTTGACTCAGGGGCAAATTATGTAGGCAGGACTTAAAAAATAAGTCAACTGTGATGGTTTATCATCCTCAACCAACTTAAGCAAAAGGGAAGGAGGCCTGAAAAACATGCATCCTTGACAGGGAATTAAACCCTGACTGAAAGAAGAAAACCATCAGTTTAATCATTTCAGGTAAAAGGTTTATGATTTTGATGGGTTACTTTGCCAAATACTTAAGAGTATTTTAATTTGTTCAGAGACATACTACTGGCATGATATCCCCATGATAATAAAAATTATACATCCCCCTAAAAGCTCTTTTTTTGCATTACATAATATTCTTAAACTGTTCTCATTTGACTATTAACTGTTTGTTTTTGGTTTTTTTTTGCAGCATTGAGTGGAAGGTTTATGATATTTTCATTACCAACCATCTACCAGTGAGTTGCTTATTTCAACTCTTTCTTAACAGTCACCCTTATAAGACAGATACCTCTCTAAAATGAACATCTAAAGTTCATCCCTGCTGTTCTTAAGTCATTTTCTTTGAGTCTTTATAAAGCAGACACCGTACAGTGATAAAGACAAAATGAAGTTATCTTAGAGAGATTTAACTGTACAGTCAAACTGTTATTGCGTGGGCTCTAACTAAGCAGTCACCATCTATTTAGTGGCCACAGTCCTCGCAGACAATGTTATGGGTAAATCACTGGGCCAGAACCTTTGTTTAGCGGTCAAACATCCTCAAGCAGCCACTTTTCCATTCTCAGAGGGTAGCAATCTTTCATAGCAGTTTATTGTTGATATCACTTTATGTATTGTATAATCAAAATTGCTTCGGCCACACCAGGCAGACTGACACTTATATTTTTGTTGCAAGTTGTCATTGTCATCATCATCATCATCATCTTCATCGCTGTCATTAACGTCATCATTATGTTCGCTTTTATCATCACCAACACTGGCAACACCAACCTCTCCATCAGCATCACTAGTGCTCATTATCATAGTTATTGTTATCATCATCATCACCCTCTTCATCACCACCTTTGTCCCTTGTTGTTCTGTTATTATCACCAAATTCATCTTTGTCACTATTAACACAACTATCATCATCATCATCATCATCATCATCATTATATTCAGAATTATAACATTTTATATCATTGTCATCATCATCATTACAAATTAATTTTTATTTTTAACTAACACTTTGTTTCTCCCCTCCATCAGTGTTAAAGATGGGACATTTCGAAAGTATGAAGGTCCAAGATCATTGCAAGGATTTATAGACTTTATTAGTGAACAAAAATGGAGAGAAACTGAACCTGTTCCTTGGTGGAAGTCTCCTAACTCATTTCTGTATGTACATTGTACCATATACAGTCAAACCTTCTCTCTGCCACTTCCCATAGGTGAACACTTCCCATAAGTACGTTTTTTCAGTGCCAGGGGGTATCCCAGGGTGAGTTAAGAACTAAAAACAAAATCACTTTCCCACTGGCAAAGCTGTTGCTGAGGTTTAGTAGCCCAAGGCAGTTAGGCCTATTAACCCCTCTTTTTACTAAAATTGAGTTACTGGTAAACTGGGGAAATGTTGCTTGCCTGTCAGACAACTCAATAATTATTTTTGTTAAAATACGCTATCCCAACAGCTAGTTCCAGCTAGTTTTGTTGCACCCTGTGTCTACTTACAGCTGGTTTGTACCATTTACCATTTGTTGCGGTAAAACCTTATTATTATGACACCAAAGAGACAGATGACTGGAACTACACCCATTAACAATGGTAACTCTGGATAAAACTGATGTTGATTTAATTTGTAAGATATCTGAAACATAGTTTTTTCCCCTCATTATATTAGGATGGGAATGCTTGGTGTATTGTTCAAGCTTTCCTTGCTTTTAAAGGTATGTGTACTTTAACCCTTTAAGCCCCAATATCCACATACAAATTCTCCAAACTGATCTCTATACATTTCCTTCAAGAATAAGTTGAGAGAATTTGATAAAAGATCAAGGCATTTACCCCTAGGTGATCATTTTATTAATTCTTGTGACCTAATCTCTTGACATTGCATGGATATTGTTAGGAGAAAATTGACATTAGTCACTATGGGACTTTAAGGATTAAATAATTGTGGTTGATGCTAAAAGTATTACCGACTAAAGGTCATTTGCATTTCATCAGATATATTGGTGTCAATGAGTCGGTTTAATTTCCTAGTATTCACAAAGCTAGGTTCTCTGTATCTATATGATCATTGTAGCAACTTTTTGATGTTTGGAGGTCACTACAGTGGAACCAGTGATCTTCTAGATCAAGAATGTCATTTTCACTGTGTCCTTGCCATATATAAGGAACATTATTCTTCACTCCGGTAATAATAAAATAATTATGTGGAAAAGAACTATAATACTAGAGGTAATCATTGATTACGGATCTGTGTTCATCACTTATGGAAAGGAAATCAAGTCTAAAGGACATAGGAGTCCAGTTTCCTGGACGAGATCCCCGTGATAAAATCAGTTGGGGGTGGCTAATCGGCAGTCGCCCGCGACAACTTGAAAATTTGTGGCTTTGTGCTTCAGGAAGACCAATATTAGGATGTGTCCTGACAAACGCGATAATGAAATTTTGATGTAGGGAATTATTTTGTCACCCCATTGGTCCTTTGTTACATCCAAGTTCCGCTATGGTTGGAATCCTGGCTATGTCTACAGAGTTTCTCTTTGTCAAATGTTCATGAAATGACAGTCATTCCATCTTTCTTGTTTATGTTGGTGTCAACAGGATTTTCATGAGCTACTTACAGTCACGCATGGTCTCCCAGTCTGGGCTTCATATGCACTTTTTGGCATTTCTACAGTTCTAGCAGGACTTCTTATAGGCATGGTAAACTGTTTAATTATTGCCCATAATTCTCTGAGTTATATTTTTGGAGTGGTTAAAATGAAGCATCTTCTAGTTTGTACGTTGATAATGACTAAAGATACCTTACTGCAAACATACGTATTTGATCGGAGGCTCTGTGGCTGAGCAGTTAGGGTGGTGAACTTTATTATTTGGAGGCCCCGAGTTCAAGACCACTTGACAGATTATTTTGTTCTCGGGAGTCCAGAGTGTAAATCCTCTGCCATCCTTGTAAATAGCCATCTGGTTTGCCTCTCACTAGTTAGGATTCATAACCCTGTTAAGTGTGATGTAAATTGTTTCAGGCATTTGCTTGGCCCCACTAGCATTAGTTCTATAAATACTGCGGAGGCTAAATAAAGGTTATTTATTTTATTTATGTTTATCTTGGTGTTGTTGTCATTAGATTATAGTAGTTGTATCAGACTATATCCTGGGAGGACCTTCTGTGATCCAGGCCCCTCCAGTGCCTGTTCAGCCCTCAGAAAAGGAATCTGAAGAGGAGCCTGGTGAAGAACATAGTGAACAATGTGATAAGGAAGAAAAAAAAGAAGCAAAAGACAATGACGATGAGAAGAGTGGTGTGAGGAAGAGGGTAGGTATCAGGGTTTATCGTAAAGGAANATGAAATGACAGTCATTCCATCTTTCTTGTTTATGTTGGTGTCAACAGGATTTTCATGAGCTACTTACAGTCACGCATGGTCTCCCAGTCTGGGCTTCATATGCACTTTTTGGCATTTCTACAGTTCTAGCAGGACTTCTTATAGGCATGGTAAACTGTTTAATTATTGCCCATAATTCTCTGAGTTATATTTTTGGAGTGGTTAAAATGAAGCATCTTCTAGTTTGTACGTTGATAATGACTAAAGATACCTTACTGCAAACATACGTATTTGATCGGAGGCTCTGTGGCTGAGCAGTTAGGGTGGTGAACTTTATTATTTGGAGGCCCCGAGTTCAAGACCACTTGACAGATTATTTTGTTCTCGGGAGTCCAGAGTGTAAATCCTCTGCCATCCTTGTAAATAGCCATCTGGTTTGCCTCTCACTAGTTAGGATTCATAACCCTGTTAAGTGTGATGTAAATTGTTTCAGGCATTTGCTTGGCCCCACTAGCATTAGTTCTATAAATACTGCGGAGGCTAAATAAAGGTTATTTATTTTATTTATGTTTATCTTGGTGTTGTTGTCATTAGATTATAGTAGTTGTATCAGACTATATCCTGGGAGGACCTTCTGTGATCCAGGCCCCTCCAGTGCCTGTTCAGCCCTCAGAAAAGGAATCTGAAGAGGAGCCTGGTGAAGAACATAGTGAACAATGTGATAAGGAAGAAAAAAAAGAAGCAAAAGACAATGACGATGAGAAGAGTGGTGTGAGGAAGAGGGTAGGTATCAGGGTTTATCGTAAAGGAAAAAACTGTGAGGTGCTCAAACTGTTGACTTGCTGACCAGGGGAGGATTTGGAAAATTCAAAATGGGGGACAGGACACTTGCCAGTCGCACTTGTTATTTTCTGGGAATTTGTCAAAAATAATACAGTTGAACCCCACTTTGCAGACACCCACTTAATACAGACAGACACCTCATTATTATGGGCAGTTAAGGAAAGAAAGCCCTTATGTTTTCTCTAAATTCAAGTCACTTCATACGCACACCCCATTAAGACGGACACTTTCTATGCTCCTCTCAGTGTCCATATTAACAGGGTTTGCCTGTACGAAATTTACCAGTGAAAGGAGGGGTGTGGTACCCTTGGACCACCCCTAAATCCACCCATCGTGGTGAGAAACAGTGCAGAGGAAAGTTTTATGTCTAGTAAAACAACAATATGACAGAAAAGAAGTGTTAAAGCTTGTAGCTCACAACTGTCTCACAGATTGGTATCTCTCAGGGCAATATACATGATGCAAGATTGGGAATCTCCACAAGAGAGAAAGTGTTAAAAATAAGCTTTAAATTCTATCTTTGCTTTTTTGATTTCCAGGTAACTGCTACAACTGACTGATGCTCTGCTTCATTGCTAATAGCATGGAGAAGCCAAAGGTCAAAGCCTTAAAAAAGGAAAAGAAATGTCACAGATATAAATTCTAAAGCGCTGAAATAGACCCTCCTGGATTGTATTAACAAAAAGATCTGGTGTATCTTGTGCTCTGGTGGAATCATAATATGAGCTGGTTTTTCATAGGCAGGGCTGTGACATGAAGCAAGTGTCAAAATAGCAAGAAATATCACAAGACATTAGTAGCTTCGCCCCAAGGAAAAATACCATTAGGATCTTATCTTAACTTCTCCCTATTCTTTTTATTGCTGTATAGTCAAAAACAAAAGCATTGGTGCTCACTAAATCCCACAAGTGCCATACAGTCATTTTCTGGTGCTTAAGTTCTTCTTTAAATTATTACCTCTTGGTTCCTAGCCCCTCTAGGTACAAAAAAACATTATACCAACTCAACCACAATTTAGTTTGATTAGCTACTTCCATCAGCTGTTTGCCCAAGGACTCTATGTGATATTGTTTTAGTCCTATCATGTGCAAAGGTCACAAGAATCAGGAATTAAATAGGGCCACGAGTTTCATCCGGCAGTAGCCTTCTACCCTGGGCCTTGGAGGTTTTTCCTCACATGCAGCGTGATGCTCTTGTGTTAGCTGCATGCAGGCCGACATATGTTTGGCCCAGTGCGTGTAGAATCTCGGGTAGCCAGGAAAGTAAGCCTAAGGCGGTGGATGAAATCCTGGCCTTGACCTTTCAAAGCTGAGAGCTAGAGGACCTTTTTGGTGAAATTTGATCTTTTTTGAATTGAATTTCTCTTTGGAATAGCTCATGAAATAAATATCCCATTGGCCTTCAAAAATTCTCTTACAGCAACTATGGTAGACTCGGCCCCCCCTGAGGGGGGGGGGGTGGGGGTACTCAAGTGAAGTTTGGGTGGAGGTTTTCTGTGGAAGCCTTAAACCTGACCATGTTTAAGACAAAAATTGCTCATTTTGCTACCCTCTTTAAGACAGAAAAAGAAGCCAAAGGGTGAAATTGTATACCGCGATTAGAGACTCAAGACCCTGAGAACTATACCCTGTAATTCAGTGGTACATAGCCCTTCAGGCCAAATGAGGGACTGCAGCCCTCTACTCCCCCCTCCGTCCCTCCCCCTCCCCAAGGGGTCTCAGGTATACTAACGGCTGGTAATTGAACCAACAACTCTGGCAGCTATCTAAATAAAATTAGTTTAGAGCAATACTGAGAGTAAAGAGAAATAAATATGGTAGAAATTTTGCTATGGAAACTAATTTGATGTGTGTTCTGAAAACACCTAATGATACAATTTAGGGAAAAGAATTTTGTACCATTCTTTCAGATCAAATATGAATACATTAAATATATTCATGTTACATGTGTAGAACTGTGGTTTGTGTTTTTTTCCCGTATCAAAACTGGCAGTCTTCATAGCCTGCGTCGCAAGCGTTTTCGTTTGGTTTCGGAGCAAAGAAAGACCGAGGAACGGGATTCTCGGCTTTGGCCGCGCGAGACTCGTTCCCCGTTCTTTGCTCCTAAACCACACGGAAACGCTTGCTACGCGGGCTACAGAGTCTTCAAGATTTTTGCTCGAGGCCAAAAGACTGTGGATACGAGATTGAATGAGAAGGAGTAAATGTGGGTGCATGAGAACGCAAATATTGCCGGTTTGCACGTGTCATCACAGCGGCCATGTTGACTGTCAAGAACTCTCCGGGAACTCAAAAAATTCTTCGCAAAAAAATTACATATATTTTGTTGGCCATCAACCTCCGGGCGACCAACATGGCTGCCATTTCATTTTGCTTGCAAACTAAGAAGAGAAGTAGGAAAGAAAGTGTTTACTTCCTTTGAGGTACTCACATGGCTCGAATAACGCTATCCCTGTAAATGACTGCACCAAAATAGTAGGTGTCCAGAAAGGAGCCACATTCAAATATTTTCGTTAGACGTCAAGCAGTTCTGTCAAGACCAACCTTAAAATTCCTTTTCTATCTTTTGAGCTGAATGTGCGGTTTCGATTCACTGTTCCTTCACATAAAGCGCTTATGTGGAGAAAAACCCAAACAAACAAACAAGAAAACTAAAGAATATTCTACCAACTCACGTGGTTCAGCTCTTTTGGCGCGAAAATACGTGATCAGCGGTTACCGCCAAAACTTAAAAGTTTTCGCTGTTTTGGCGCGAATATCCACACAAGATGGCGGACACTGAAGTTTCTTCTCAAAACAGTCAGAAATCGTCACAGTTTAGTCAATCGGATCTTCCTGAACTTCTAAATCAGTACTACAAAAGATTATTTCCTTATAAATATTTCGTACAGTGGCTTTCCTACGGAGGAGGTAGCGAGTTTTTGAAATCTGGGTGAAATATGTAGTTCGATGATGTAGATCGTCAGTGAAATTGACAGGGTTTTTTTTATGATTGTGTCGATTTCGCAGTGCCCAAGACTTATTTTGTCAATCGGGAGTTCTCTTTCACGTTAAAAGACGATGTTTACCTGCGCTATCAGTCGTTCTCGGATCAGCAAGAACTGGAGAAGGAAATTCTAAAACGAAACCCGTACAAAATTGACATTGGAGCCGTATTCACGCACAAGGTAATTTTAAGTTTATGTAGAGGACGATTTGTGTTTAGACCTGATAAAGTTGCCTTAGAGGTTTAAATTTTCATTTTATTTTTCTAAAAAAAGAAGCAATCTAATCTTCTTGTTAGATGGAAATATTTTGGACTGGAGGCTACCCCCACCCCCCCCCCCCTGCAACTGAAGTTGCTCTTTCTTGCTCCTTTGGGAGAGGGGGACCTAATGGTTCTTTGCAAGACTCTGTACTTCATTGGTTGGAACCCCTTATCCATTTTCAAGGCAAATAATGTAATTTTCATCACCCATTTTGAGGAATTAAAGTACAAATGTAAGAGACAATGTTTCTACACTTTTACAGACTTACCCCCAAAACTGAGCGCAAATCCATCGGCAAATGTCCCTTGCAGACCTTCTTAGTAGAGGGGGGACATCGGTATTCACAGCTTGTATGTCTATGTGCCTTTCAGCCAAAGGATCACAAGATGATTAAACCTGGGGCATTTCAAGCTGAAGAGAAGGAGCTGGTGTTTGATATTGATATGACGGATTATGATGAAGTCAGGACATGCTGCAAGTAGGTTGTCTTCTTTGCTTGACGACGTTGCCATATATTCAAATTTTCTCATGGTGTGGGTTATAAAGAGGCAGTGTTGTTAGAGTTACTGAGTAACCATGTGCCTCACAGACTGACCAGCTGGTGGTGGCAGGGTTTTCATTAAATACCAGCAACTGGCTATTTCGAATTTTGAGCCACCTGATTTTGGGGCAAAAGGGCAAGGCGACAGAGTGAAAGCCTGAAATTGCCTTCAACACCCAACTGCCCAGCTGCTCACTTCTATATCCAATCTGTCTAGCCCAGTTCAGGCCTCTCGTTCTCTGTCACACAATGCCATGGCTATTGTTGCTTGACAGAGAGAGAGAGAGCACAACAACTGGAATAGCTTGGTGAACAACTGACTGGCTCTGACAAACCTACTGAGTAGGTTGTAAACTGACTGACTCAGTGGCTGCCTGATCTCATGTCTATGTC